CGGGGTCCCTGGGCCTGGAACACCTACCCAGCACTTGAAAGTCCTCGTGTTGTCTTTATCTTTTGCACAGATGACTCTTCCACAAAAGTGGACATGAAGGACACTTATGATGCTGAAGCCAGCACCTTGTGAGTACATACATGCACTGAGCTCTGGGCTTAGGATCATCACATGCATGGTCTTCTGTGTCTAGTCTCCGTCTTGGTGGTCCCTCAAGTTCTCTTCGGTTCCAGAGTCCGGTGCCCCAGATTTCCACCTCTAGAGCCTTGCCAGTCCTCTCTTGTCCTTATCTTCTGTGGCCTCCAGAAGTGCCCTTGGAAAAGGCACACTGCATGGTGGTGGCCTGCATCCTCCTGAAGCCTGTTAGCTCAGCCTGTGCAATCTCCCAGCCTTTCTGCTCCTCCTCACTGTCTCCCAGCCCGGACACTCCCTGAGCAAGCCAAGCCTTCCTCTGTGTGTGTGTGTGTGTGTCTGTGTCTGTGTCTGAGCTCCATTGTAAGGTTGAGCTGACTCCTGGGTTCTTCTTGGTCACCACCACATGTGGCCATACCCAGCCAGTTCTTAGTCACTGTTGTCTGCTTATGTGATTGTATTTGTGAGCAGGCTGCCAGGCCCCAGCCCTAATCAGGCGCATGAGCTTGTGTAGCGAAGGGCTGAGTAGTCAGGGCCTAACCACCTTGTGCCTTTGCAGCTGCTTCTCAGACCCTGGGGATGTGGGAGGGCTGCCGCCCTTGTCCTTCTGCATGCAGGCATCGCCCCACAGCAAGACTGTCAGTGAGAGCGAGCTGAGCAGCAGCGCCACGGAACTGCTGCAGGACTACATGCTCACGGTAGGCAGCCGACCACCTCACCGGCCTGGTTTCGCTACTGTCGCCCTGTGGGAGTGGGAGTCTGTGGGCCCGAGTTGGTGCTGGGTTGTTTCGCCTGGACCATGCTGGTGCTAATTAGGAACTGCAGCTCCATCAGTGCCTGGGCATGATGCCTCCTTGTGTCTTAGATTTGAAAAGTTAACCTGTTAGACCTGTTTGCCCCCAGGTCATGGATCCCTGTTGCTCCATGCAGAGCTTGCTTCCTTCCCTTCAGCCCTCCTGAGGACCCTTTTATATTGAGAGAGCAGATCTGTGTACTGCCTGGTTCTCTGGGTGTTTTTTATGCTGGGCTTGATGACAGAGACGCAGGGTGGGCATTCTGACTCCCAAGTATTGAGCCTTGGCCACTGGGGTTGTGGTAAGGGTGGGGTCCAGCTGCCATAGTGCCACACACACTCACACACCTGCCTGTGCCAGCCCTCACTACTCTGCACTTCTCTTCCTTCACAGTTACGTACTAAGCTGTCATCGCAGGAGATCCAGCAGTTTGCAGCCCTGCTACATGAATACCGCAATGGAGCCTCCATCCATGAGTTCTGTATCAGCCTGCGACAGCTCTACGGGGACAGCCGCAAGTTCCTGCTGCTTGGTGAGTGGGCCTTGGGAGGCCCACTGGTCCCCTCTGGGAATGTGTAGGGTTCAGAGGGGAGGAGCTCGGTCAGGCATCTGTGTCAAAGCTGGGCTAAGCTGTAAGACTGACGTAGTTACAGGAAGGGCCCTTACTGTGTTCTCACTCTGCTTAGAGCCTTGAGCTGAACTGGATGGGCTCTGCCAGGAAGCATGAAAGGTCCTGAGACTTGAGTCTAAACAACACCCATCAAGTCTGCAGGATGCTGCTAGAAAGAGGCAAGGGACTCTTTAAGGGGATACTTTGTCAGTGTCTTTTGGGGAGCGTGTAGGAATTTGCAAGCCTTTGTCCAAGACGCCTGAAGAGCCCAGCACATGTGTCCCCACCAGTCTAGGGGTCAGGCCTGCCACATCAGCCCCACACCTGGAAGGGACAGTAGCACCTCTGTGGTTTCCCTTTCTGCCAACACTCAGAACACAGTGAGCTGGCAGTAGCTTGAGGGTCTAACCTGTACTCTCAGTAAACCAAGGGAGGCCTAGTGAGCATCGGCTGCCTGCCTGGGAGGTGAAGGACGGGAGTAGACCCAGAGAGTCTAGTCTGAGTTCTCACTCCCTGCAGGTTTTCTGGATCAGGTGCCCAGCAGGCTCAGGTTTCAGGTCCCTGGCACTCAGCCCAGAATGTGCCTTCAGAAGCCTTAAGCCAGCTCCTTCCCATTTTGGTCTCAGCTGACTCTTTGCCACAGTGGTATAGAGCCAGGCGTGAAGGCACAGCCATAAACTGAGGACTCCGGAAACTGAGCCAGATAGCAAGTTCAAATTCAGAAAAAGCCGGTTGGAAAGGAGTTGATGCTCTGGGCATCTGCTGCTTAAAATCCTGCATCAGGCAGGCAGTTAACTGTACTAGCCTTTAGGCCTCTCTGCTACCTCCCGGCCCCCACCTAAGCAGGTTGTCTGGGGTGTTTTTCCATATGTTTTGTTTGATTTAATTTGGGCTTTATGATACAGTCTCATGTAGCTCAGGCTGGCCTCAAACTCCCTGTGCAGGGGAGGATGACTTTGAACTCCTTATCTCTTAACTTCCTGTGTTCTGCAATTACGGTGTGAGTGGTATGTCAGGGGTTCACCTGAAGGCCCCGCATCAGGCAAATGTTGTCTGTAAACTCACCTGTTGTGTACATGAACTCCTTATCCCATCAGGATGGGCCCAGCCACATCAGGGTTCTGGCTCCTGGACTCTGTCACTTGTCTTCTCGAAGGGGACAGCTTCCTGGTTGGGACTGTTACCCTGGATTTGGTTACTGGCTTTGGCATGAGGCCTTGGCTTTCTGTCCTTATAGGATAGGGGCTTTGAAGATCATAGGCCCCTGACTCGGGCCACGCCTCAAAGCTGAAGAGTTAGATTGACAAAACAGCAAGCTATCCATAGCTGGGGTCCTTGTCAGAGCCAGAGCTAATTAAACCTGGCTGCAGGGCACAGCTTGCATGGTCTGAGTATCCTGAGCCCCGCTGAGGTTTCATTCTGGGATCATATGTTGGCAGGTTTGAGGCCCTTCATCCCTGAGAAGGACAGTCAGCACTTTGAAAACTTTCTGGAGACCATTGGCGTGAAAGACGGCCGTGGCATTATCACTGACAGCTTTGGCAGGCATCGCCGTGCCCTGAGTACCACCTCCACATCTGCCACCAACGGGAACAGGACCACAGGCAGCCCTGATGACCGGTCAGCGCCTTCGGAGGGAGATGAGTGGGACCGCATGATCTTGGACATCAGTAGTGATATTGAAGCGCTAGGCTGCAGCATGGACCAGGACTCGGCGTGATGGGTTGTGACAATGTACACTTGTCTCACACAGCCACTCCAGGCCTTCCCGGGAGTTGATGCCTGCACCTGACTGACTGTCAGCCCTTCCTGGCTAGGAGCTAGGGAGGGCCTGCAGACACAGGTGGCTCTGGTGGCCAGGTCCTCTACTGTGAAGGAGTGGAGAGCTGCCACAGGACATGTGCCCCAGCACAGGGCGAAAGGCTCTGTGCCTCTTCCTCAGGGGCTCAGCAATGCCTGTAGCCTGTCCCCACTCGGGAGGGCCAGTTGCAGCTGGCAGGAAGAGCCAGTCCTGTCGGCCTGGCCCTGGACAGCTGGTATTTTGCACATGATTTTCCTCTTCTAACTCTCAGAGACCTTAAAAAGTTGTTTACTACAATGTGAATAATTTAATCTCCAGTTGTCAAGCATTTTTTCTGTTCCGTGATGTCACAGGGTGGATGGATCATGACTGTCCACAGTACCCAGGGAGAGGTGGGAGAGAGGATTGGTACTTCTGCTTTGGCTCTGGACATGACAGGAGCAGGCATTTGGGGGAACCTCTCTTCCATGTCAGGGGGCAGTAGCATGTTGTAGCCCTTTGTGTAAGCCGGAGTGCAGTATACAGGAAGAGTGTAGCCTACAGAATTGAGGATCGGGGCTTCTGAAAAGTTGACATGGGCCTCATGGCCCTCATTCTGTCCCCTTCCCCTAAGCCTGGTGACTTCATTCTGGACCCTCTAGACCCCTTGAAACTCTCCTAGCCACAGAGAGAAGGAAAGTGACCTGGGGCCAGGCATCCCTATAACACTCCTGGGCTGGGGTACTTGTCAGTGCCACACTCAGGGAGGAAGAGCTGTGTCCTGAGCAGAAGGGCTGTGTGAAGACCCCAGCTGTCTCTGAACTGGGACAGTTGTGATTGAGCCCCTCGGGCTCTGTAGACACCTCAGTTGTCTCCAGGGCAAGCTTGAGTGTCCCTGGGGTCTCATGGATACTTTCCTCAGCAGTATCATGACCTCAGGACAGTATTTGACAGAATCTTCTTGTCGTCTGCTGTCCTGGGACTGGGCATGGGAGCCTAGCCCAAGCCAAGAGAGACTGTTGGGGTGGTCTCTTGATGCGCGCGCAGCTCGTTCTCTCCTAGAAGTGTGGGAGACTGAAGATAGACCGCAGTCTGCCCTGTGCCCAGTTATGCCCTAGTGCACACCAGCAGGGTGTATGTGCAAGTAAAGGACCACGACAGCCACATTTCTGTGACCAAAACTGTAGGAGGAAGGGACAAGGAGTGCATGGCCGTGCGGCTGTAGCTGGATCTGAGAGAAAGCCAGAGAGGGGTGAAGGAACTTTTGGGGATGGCAGAACCAAAGGAGGGTGATGAGGGGGTGTCAGGCATTGGGGAGACACCAGAGGGCCACTAGGTAACAGCAGAGATTGATGGAACACTAAAGGGTGGCGGGGGCGTGGCGATGGCATCGAAGCAGTGAGGTGACAGAAGGCAGTGAAGGATGAGCACCAGGTTCTGAGGGGACACTAGAGGGTAGGGAAGGACACCAGGGCCCTGATGAGACACCCAAGGGTGATGAGAGTCTACCACACAACTGAGGGGACTCCAGAGGGTGATGATATGACACCGATTTATTGGGCAGCAGAGCTGGGGGAGGCAGAACATCTGTCCCGAGCTTCCCGACAGTAGCTACATTGTTAGTTCCTGCAGAGGAAGAGTCAGGTTAGGAGGGGCGTCTTCTGCAGGACCTCCCTAGGGACATCTGGGCTGCAGAAGGGGCTAATACTTGCTCACCATGATGGCATTGACAATGTCACTGTGGTTGTCCCTCAGTGCCCGCACGGCCTTTGCCCTGGACACATTGGCCTGGGCCATCACCAGCTCGATGTCACGAAGTTCTAGGCCAGCCTCCTCTACCTGGTGGAGGGGAATAAGGGGGTGGGTGACTTAAGCTGCCTGAGGCCCCTTGAGCAGGGTGCTGCTCAGGTAGGATAGAATCCCATCCTACCCTCACCCCGCACCCAGTCAAGCGTTCAGAGCCTCTTTACATCACCTCCTCATCTTCCTCCTCCTCGCACTCTGGCCTCACCCGGGGCCCAGGTGCCAACTCAGGGACCAGGGCTGAGGGCTCTGAGGGCACCTTGAACTTCTCTGCCGCAGCCTTGTGTACCTGCTGGGACAGGTCCTCGATCTGCAGTATAGGACATCTATGTGAGCAGAGCTCACCGACCCCCGTGGGCCTTCCCCCAAACCACAGCATTGCCATAGCCTTGGCCTTGACAGACAATATGACAGACCTTGGCCTCACCAAAGACCACATAGGTGTCTGAGGCGGGGCTCTTGAAGACATCTGGCTTGGCAATGACAAACAAGATGTTCTTGGACTTCTGGATGGTGATCCTGGTGACTCCCTGAATCTGCCGTAAGCCCAGTTTGGACATTGCCTGATGGGGAGGATGAGATGCTCAGGCCGCCTTCCCTGTCTGTGAGGGATGCTTGTCCCTCCCATGTCAGGCTGACCTCTGTAAGGGCTTCCTCAGGACATTGCAGTGTTTAGGGGTAGGGGTCACCAGATTTGACTCAAAGCCCTTTTTGTGGGTAGGGTTTCACTGGCCATAGGCTATGAGGGGTGTTGGTAAGATTGCCTCCCTGTATACATGTCCTCTCCCAGGGTCCTCCAGAGGAACCCTCAGCTGACCTTTCGAGCCTTCTTCTCGCTTCGGCTTTGCTTGGCTTTGGCAATGGTCTCCTCATTGCTGCCCGCTGGGCCCTGTAGGAAGGTAAAGTTAAGCATCTGTGTGGGGGGGTCTGGGCTAATGCCCAGAGACCCGCCACCTTCTGGGGCCAGCACCTGTGCCGGGCACTGCGCTTTCTCAGGTGGGATATCTTGCTCATCCAGCTCAGCTGACGACTCCCCGTGGCTATCCGAATGCTGGCCGGAGCCTGGGGCCCTCTGTGAGTCTGGGGAAGGGGTGAGGTGTGAGGGCCTCTTGCCACTGCTGAGGTTCCTCCAGCTCCATCCTCTAGTGCCTCCCTGAGAGGAGTCTAGCCTGCCCAGACCCTGAGCTCCACATACTCTTACCTTCCTCTAGGCTGTCCTCATCCTCTTGTTCAGGGGCTGGGAACCCTCGAGAGCCAGATGGGCTCTGGGTCCCAGAGGCAGGAGGCACTTGGCAGGGGCTTGAGATGATGCAAGCCAGGTCTTTGGTGTCTGTGGGGGTCACCTTGGGGTTGAGGGTGGAGTGAGGTGAGAGGCTGACACGCTGCCGGGCCCCCAGAGGCATTGTGGATCCTGAGGTGGTAATGGCAGCAGTTCCCTGGGCTCCTGGCCGAGGCATCAGACCACGAGAGGCTGGGATCTTCTCTTCCACAGAGGCTTTCTGGGGACTGGGGCCCAGGCAAGGGGCTGGGGGCCCTGGGGATGTTTGGGATGCCCTGTCCAGGGCACTGGGAGCAGGAGGGTCAGGATCCAGGGACCTACCCTGGGTTGTGGTGGGCAGGTCACTGGCAGAGTTTGCTGGGAAAGGGTAAAGGGCACCTGGGGTCGTCTGAGGCTCTTCTCTACTACCCAGGCCTAGCACAGGCTCCTGCTGTTCAAAGGATGGTGCAGAGCTGGCAATCTCTTCAGAGTGGACTCTGCTCAGTGTGCATGCGGCCCTTGCTGGGGAGCCTGGGCAGGAACTTAGCCTGGCTTGTACAGATAGAGCCACAGGAAGCTTGGGGCCCAAGGTGTCCTTGCTGCTCAGGCCCCTCCCTTCTCCAGCTGAGCTCATCAACTGTGTCTGGCTGACCTCAGAGCATGCTGCTGACTGTGCCTTGGAAGTCTCCCCTGCACCTTGGGATGCTGACTTGGACCCATTTCCCTGCCCTGGTGATTTGGGGCCTCTACCCCGCTTGTTCTTAGCCCCTGGGGCCTCTGTTTGAGGTGAGCGGGTCTTGACCGCATTGTGGGTTTCAAGGCATGCTCCTTGCCTGAGGGCAGGCATGCTCTCAGCTACTTTCTCTCCCATACAAGATGTGGGCTCAGAGATCTTTGTGCTCAAGGTGGGACATACCTCTTCTGGAGCCCCAGACTTGTCAGTTTTTACGGCTGGCTCGGAGCCGTTCTGTTGGACTTGGTTTGAATTGACGAATGCTGAGTCTAGAGGGGGTTTTGAATCCTGCTCACCAGGCACTGGCTTTGGTCCTAAGGCCACACCTAACTCCTGATGGGTCTCAGAGGCTGAAGGCTTAGTCTCTGTGGTGTAGCCTGTTCCTCTCTGCAGTGCCAGAGAGGTGTCTTGGACTATCAGCTCTGGCTCCGAGGTGGAATCTATGCTTTGGAGGAACCGAGGTGCCATCACAAGGGTGTCCTGGGGTGCAGCGGCACTGTCTTTAGCCTGCTGGGACCTTGGTACGGCTCTAGCCACAGGATGTAGGTCTGAGATTGAATCTAAGCTTTGCAGGGGTGGAGGTGATGCTACTGGGGTGAACTGGGGTATGGTGACACCCCCCTTGGCCTGCTGTGGTCCCAGGGTGGCAGCAAACTCAGCTTCTAGGTCTGGAGTTGGATCTGAGCCATGCCAGGATAGACATGCCATAGGGGAGTCCTTGAGTGCTGTGGCAATCCCTTCATCCTGCTGGGACCCCAGTGTGACCACAGCCTCAGGTTCTGGGTCTGAGGTGGGATCCGAGCCTTTCAGGGGTGGGGATGATGCCATGGGGGAATCTTGGGGTACTATGACACCTTCCTTAGCCTGCTGGGACCCCAGTGTGACCACAGCCTCAGGTTCTGGGTCTGAGGTGGGATCTGAGCCTTTCGGGGGTGGGGATGATGCCATGGGGGAGTCCTGCTGTGCTGTGATACCTTCCTTAGCCTGCTGGGACCCACATGTAGCCGCAGCCCTAGACTCTGGGCCTGAGATGGGATCTGTACTTTGTAGGGGTGGAGGTGATGGCACAGGGGCCTCCTGGAGGGCTATGACACATCCCTCGTCCTGCTGCAGCCTCAGAGTGACTGCAGCCACAGACTCTGGGCCTGAGGTGGGATGTACACATTGCAAGAATGAGGGTAGTGTCATAGGGAGGTCCTGGGGTATTATGTCACCTCTCTCAGCCTTCTGGGGCCTCACTGAAGCCACAGCCACAGACTCCAGTGTGGAGGGAAGGTCCTGGCCTCCTTCCTTCAGGTTAGCAGGAAGGTTTGGACACAAGGTGGGGCTTGCTTCTTCCTGCAGATCTAGAATGGATTCCACGGTGACAGGATTACAACCTAGAGCAGTGCTCAGCCCCTTGTGGCAGGCCTCAGGCAGTGCCCTGGGTGCTAGTTGAGCAACTGAGTCAACTTCTTTGTTCCCTTCCCTAGGGGTGACTGTGGTAACTCCCTCCACCTGGGGGCCTGGAGCTGCTTGCAGATCAGGAAGGGTCATAGTAGCTTCGGATTCTATGCCTAAAGTTGGGGCCTCTTCTGCTATTTCTGCAGTTGATTCCTGGCTATTGGTAAGACAGGCTTCTTGCTCCAAAATCTGAAGCATGAACTCTGTGCCCTGAAATGTGACCCTGCTTCTGTGCTCCTGCTCTGTATTCTGGGCACTGGGCTGGGCATGGGGCTCCCCACTGTACAGCCTGTCGTCATCTGCCCCTGCATAGGAAGCTGAGTCTGAGTCAGAGGAGGCTGCAGAAGTATCATCCCGGAAGGCGAAGGCCTCATCCATGCCCTCGATGATGGACAGATCAGACAGTGACTGCAGGAACGAGGCAGATGCGCTGTCGTCCTCACCCTCTCCAGCCAGGTCTCCATCCGGGGTGGCAGCACCAGCAGCTACCTCCTCTTCCTCCTCCTCCTCTTCCTCCTCCTGGGGCAATGGTGTCACCTCCACAACTTCCACCTGGAAGATGAGGCTACCCCGGAAGGGTAGTAGGGCGGCAGGGATCATCGGGTCGTTGGCCAAGAAGGTCGGGTCAAAGAAATGGCCCTCTTGGCTCCAGGAAGAGCTGCTGTCGGTTGAGAGGCTAGACTCAGAGGATGGGGGCTCTGGAGGTTCTGTGGAGTGTGGCTCTAGTTCGTCTACCACAGATCCTGACGGGGAGAGGCCCCAGTCAGAGGGAAAGTCCAGCCCTTCAGCTGGGGCCAGCAGGCTGAGGGAACAGGAAGGTGATGAGGCCCAGCTGTCCCCATCTGCTGTAATATAGGAGCCTGAGGGTGAAGCTGGCGTTGAATCCAGTAACTCATCCAGCAGCTCGGCCTCCAGGTCCCAGGCATCACTGTGTGGCCCATGGTCAGGAAGCAGGGCACAGGTGGTTTTGGTAGGAGTAGAGGGTGGTGTGAAGTAGGAATCGAGGTCAGGGGGAGGGGAAGGCACAGGAGGATCACCCTGAGAACACAGCTCCGGAGGTGGATGCAGGGTGGTGTGCCCACCCTCCCGGTCCCTGAGCACTGGCCAGGCTGTCCTGGGTGAAGGGACGACCTGGCATGTCTCCTCACCCATCACGATGCGGGGCTCCAGGGTGGTGGGGAGAGGGACTTCAGTAGGCAAAGGCTGGAGAGGCAGGCCCTCAGGAAGGACCCCTGGACTCGGGCTGCCCTCTGCTGGGTCAACCCAGGTTGAGGCAGCCCCACGGGGCCCTGCATCCCAGCTGGCTCCCTCAGGCTGGGGCCGTGCACCTGGCTTGCTGGACAGGAATGTGAGTGCCAGAGGGCTAGGCCCTGGGGTTGGGGCAGGGGGCTCCCGTTGGTCCCCTTTCAGAATGGTGGTGGCAATGGCTGCATCACATGAGAGATCTATGGAGACAGAAAAAGACAGATCTGGACAGATCTGAGAGCCAGGGCAGGTGAAGAGTTGAACATTGGGAAGGGGCAGGGTTCCACAGATAAAATTGCAGAGGAGGGCTGGTCAGGGAATGTAGTGGAGGAGAGAATGACGTGTAGGCTAACTGGACTTGAAGCGTTTCCAGGCATTTCAGCAGAGCAGGCAGCTGCTGACAGGCTGCTTTATGGGAAAGGGCAACATGAGAAATGTTGCGTATTAGAAATCCAGGCCTTTTTTGGAGACACTTCAGCAAAGGTACAACTAGCAACTGTCTCTGTTCTGAATTGGGCTTGCTACTTTAGCTTGGTCCAACAGGGCTTGGCAGGAACAGGGCTACGAGAATCCACTGGACAATGCCAGCTCCTTCTTGTGACAAGGGCAGTGAGTGGTCCTGTACACTACAGCTCTGGGACATTCCAGATCTACTGTAAAGCAGGAGGTTTTGTCTCTAGCCCAACTTGCTCCTAACCTTGTTGCCTATACTTGAGACCAACCTCAAGTTCCCCATAGCTATCTGCATGCAGCTAAGTTTCTGGAGGACAGAGACAGACATGTGCCACAGAGTCTGGGTTGCAACACCCTGCTCAAAGGGCAGTGATGGGACTTGGTGATAGGTGCCCATGGGAATAGGACAGCTGAGGAAGGCTGGCCATGTCCTCTCCATGGTGGCAGCCATTCATGGCAACAGATCCTCCACCATGCTGGGGGCTGGCCTGCCTTGGGGTCCTTCTCTAGGTCTCTTCAGGCATAGGTGCTCATGGGCTGGCACACCCTCCGCTGACATGCCACACCACAAACACATCCCCGGGCCTTGATTCCCCGTGGATAAGAAAGTACTTATGGACTTCGGAAAGTATGGAGCAAACCTCTCCAGGAGGCAGTTCCCACACTACCTCCTATCTTTCTGGCTAATGCTGTCCTGCCTCTCGCTGACCTGCATGTCCCCACTAAGGTCACTCTGCATATTCGCTCGAGTCCCATGGCTTTTAACTCAACCATTTAAGTGTATTCAAGTTCTCAGGGCATCATTTTTTTTAAGCCTCATTTTTAATGACTCTGTAACAGCTCCTCCCCACCCCCCACCCCCCGGACCATAGCCAAACACATATCTCTTTGAAGTATCCACTTAAAGCCTTCCTACTGTCCCCAGAGTCCAGGCCAAATCCTGCACAAGAGGGGGAGGGGCAATGCCTAGGGGCCTGCCGCTCTGGCAGGCACACAGCCAATGTTGCTGGCTCTACCATATTCACTAGTGACAGGGCAACATGACCTGCTCCTTGCCTTTGTCTTTCTCAGCTACTGAGCAGATCTCACCCAGGATGACAGGGAGGCTGGAGAGGGGACAGCCACCTCCCCTGACATCTGCTCTCAGCAGGGCCAGGGCACTGGGCTCTTTGACACTGACTACTAGGGCAACCAGGGGTCCTGCAGGTCCCCTGAGGGACACCTGGCACTGGAAGTGGGTGTGGCTAGTAGCCATCACTGGGTGTCCCCAAGTCAGGCTCTTGCCATCTCTACTTCTTAGTGTGGCCTCAGGGCAGAAGCGCAGAATTGGGCCAAGGTTAAAATGGAACTAAAAGGCTCAAGTTGTGGGGCTTTTTGTTTGTTTGTTTGTTTTGTGACTCAAGGTCACCATGCAAGCCAGGAAGGAATCAGCTTATCACTCTGGGTCTGGGGAGTCTCGGCATGGACTGCCTGTTTTCAACAAGAGTAGGGTGGCATCCGTGTTGGTTCTCAGTCAGGTTTCTGGCCCAGCATTGACACCATCCCTATTCTTGCCCATACTGTCCCCAGATGACTTTTTGCACACAGCAAGGTGCCCTTGGCTTTGTCCAGTACTCTCAGGTCTGTAAGTGGACTGGTTTCCACCAACATTTAATGCCGCTGCTTCTCCAAGGTCTGAATATTAAGACCACTGCTGGTCACAACACCCCCAGGGCCGCACCTCCCAGACCCAGCTCTGCCAGTGTCCTCTGGCTGGGTTCCCAAGTCCCATCAATCCTACGCCTCCTTTCTAAGTCTAGCCGCTTGCTACCCTGGGCGCCTAAAGTACCTCTAAAGACCCTCTGGTGGTCACAGGATGAGCCTGCAGGGACCCTCTGGGCCTCTGGCTTCCAAACCTGTCACCCCACCGTCGGTCCTGGGGCCCTGCAGCTCTCTGTGGACAAAGAAACGCGATGTGGTACAGAGGCCTAAGCAAATGGGACTTGGTCCAAAGAGCACAACTCCCCCCCCCCCTTCCCCAGCCCAAAGTGAAAGGCCAAAACACTGCCCTTTCATAGTTCCAGGTTTTGGAGGATGCTGTCTGCGGCCTCCAGGCTTTCATGAAATCCTGGGGTTTGGGGCTGGGGGTGGGGGAAGGATGCAATGTGGAGGGAAGAACCGGTCTGAAAAGACAGGGGAGGGGACTGTTAGGAGGCTGAGAGATGGAGAGAAAGCCAGAGAAAGGTATTGGGCCAGAAAGCGGAGCCACCCCGGTCTCACCTGTGCGGGATCCTGGCCCTCCTGCCTCAGGCAGCGGCAACTCAGCGCGCACAGCCTCCCCGGGCATGGCCTGGACGTGTGCCTGCTGATCCCCCTGTCTCTCTGTCCCTCTGTCCGTCAATGCGCTTGGAGTAGCCAGCTCGGCCACCGCCCCTCTGCTGGGGGGGGAGGGCGTGGATGACGTCAGCGCTGCCCCGCCCGCCTATGAAGTCAAGTGAGCGTGCGCTGCGCGCCAGGCACCGCAGAGTGCAAGAGGGAGGGCGCTCGCTCGTTCCTCACGTTCATTCCATCGTCTTTCTCCCACTGTTGAGTCTGGGGCCGGAAGGCTGCACCCTGCCCCGCCTTTCCGGTAGTACCCGAAGGGTCACTTGGAATCCGGGCTCCTCCCAAGGTGACATCGCCTCTTGCCTGCAAAAAGGCAAAAGTGTCGGCAGAACCAGGAGTGCGGGTTAATCTGGGGAGATAGCTATGTATTTTGCAGAGTGGGCATGGCCACTTTAATGAGTGATGGCCCAACCTATTGCTCAGTGTCTGGACAGAGGACGCATGGAGTCAAGGGAAGGAGTTATTACCTCCAGGCCCTAGGATGAGCTGAAATAGCAGCTCGCGATTGGCTGGTCGCAGCAGTCAGTCTCCATAGCAACCACCTCCTGTCTCTGTGGCAACGGAAGATAGAGCTAAGTGTGCCAGGGAAAGCGGCTCCAGACAAACTCCTGGGCTGAGATTGATCTTTTGAGTTCCAGCTTGGCAATTGGCTTCCTTTCCTTCCCGCTTCAGATCTCTAGACCAGGGAAGAAAGGCACCTTACTCCATTCCCGGCAGGGCCTGTGCAACACCGCCAGACGTGATGTTTACCATTTCCCATCCTGAAATGCTATACTGCTTCCACACCGGCTGTTGCACTGCCCAGTTTGTCTCCTCCCCGCCCCCCCTCCCCAGTACCAGGCACCAGGGGATGAAAGAATGACATATTGTCATCTTTGAACTGGAGTTGGGGAAATTAGCAGTTATCAAGGCAAGCAGGGAGGAAGTGCCCGGTGTATAGGATTTTCTGGGTCTAAGATCAGCTCAGGAAGATGGCCATTTGCTGTTCCCCAGTCCCCTGTACCTGACTCAAGGTGCAACATTGCACACCAATGTACCTCTGGTACCCTACCCACCATGTCCAAACATAGCTGAGCATCTCCTGCAGAACTGCCCCAACCCTCTCTGGTGTTGGCAACCCATCCATCTTTCCACTTGATTTCCCCCTTTCCTTTATACTCCACTTAAGGACCCTTATTTCCTCTCCCAAGGATCTAAGTTGTTTCCTCCTGTGGACCTTTTTTGTTTTTAAAGCTGAATTCTGTCCCAATTGCCATTGTTCTGACTGTTCCTTTACCATGTGGTCAACACCACAGACTTTTCAGAAACCAGTTTTTTTCTGTAAAACCTGATGTCTATAGGCTTCCAGCCCAGAAAAGATGGTATGGTCTTGTCTTTACTTTTTGTTTGTTTGGTTGATTTTCTTTTTTCCTAAGGTCAACTATAAACTGAAGAAAACCAAAGTAGAACTCTCAAAGATGAGAAGGCAGTCATGAGGAAGTGAGGAACCAGGTGAATGCCATAGCAAGAAGGCATCCTGCAGTGCCTCATCCAAAGGGTGGAGGCCAGGTCTGGTGTTTACCCCAGCCTACCAACAGGAAGGCCATATTAGGCTTCTTCACCCCATATAGAATCAAGGACCACCTACACCAACAGAGGCTGGGAAGACAAGAGGACCTTCTGGACAGCATATTCACCCCATTCCCAGCTCTATAGAGGTCCTGAGGATGGGACACTAGCAACAAAAGAAAATGCCACTCAGGAAAGACAGCCAGACACTCAGGACATAGTGGATGAAGGATCGCAGTTCAGGGTTAGCCTCAGCTACATAGTGAATCTGAGACCAGTGTGGACCTTATGTCTCATTCTGCCCCCTCAAAAACAAAACAAAAAGCAAGAAAGCCAAAAAGCCAGGCATGCAAAGTGATTGTGCTGAGTTGTTCGTTTCCTTTTTAAGTCAGCTTGACCTAAGCTAGTCATCTGGAAGGAGTGAATCTTCAAAGTCCACCTCTATCAGATTACTTATGGGCAAGCCTGTGGGGGTTTTCATGGTCAGTGATTGATGTGGGAGGGCAAGCTCATTGTGGGCAGTGCCATCCTTGGCAGGCGTCTTGGGTGGTAAAAGAAAGCAAGCCAGTATGATGTAGCTTTTCCCACCATTTCTGTCTCTGCTCATACTTGGGTTCTTGCCCTGATCAACTGTGATCAGGACATGGAGGCTAAACAAGCACTTTTCTTCCCCAAGTTGCCTGCCTTTTTCCTTCTTTCCTCCTTCCTTCCTTCCTTCCTTCCTTCCTTCCTTCCTTTTTTAGACAGAGTTTCTCTGTAGAGCCCTGTCCTGGAACTTGTCCTGTAGACCAGACTGGCCTCACATTTAGACATCCACTTGCCTCTGCTTCCTGAGTGCTGGGAATTAAAGGTGTGTGCCATCACTGCCCAGCCAAGTTACTTTTGGTTATGGTGTTTATCACAGCAACAGAAAGCAAACTAATCAAAAAACTGGCCCCAGAAAATGGGTTTGCTGCTGTGATGGACTCACCATCCTGTTTTGTGGGAGGATTGTGGAAGTATCTGGACCTTTGGGCTAGAAAAGGCCATTGGATGCTCAAAACTTAATGAGCTGACACAGGAGCTTGGGAGACAGGAATGTTGAGAGAGGTACAGAAGATGGCGGCCTGGCTTGGGAAGTTCCAATACTGGGGTTATTTCTGGTCAGCTGGGACTGGAGTCAGCCATGATTTTAACAAGAGACTGACAACACTGAAGTGAAACTTGCTTTACTGGGGCAATTGTGAATGGTTAGCTGGGGATGGAAGAAAATGAGCTGTGATTAAGAGACCAGCATCACTGAGGCAAAATCTTGCAAATATCAGTATTTTCTCAGAGTCAGCATACAGAAGCTACAGTCCAGCAGGGCCAAGGCTTAATTTCAGTCTGGCAACTAGGCTTAGGAATGTGTTAAAACATCTCACCTGGCTTTGACATTTTTCTACTGGTACTGAAGACATGAAGGGTCTATGGAGAGCAGCTGAGAACACAGTGTATTTATTGGAGATACACCAGGTCTGTGGGACCAGTAAGAACAGTATTGGGGCTGGGCTGGGCTGGGCGTGGTGGCACACACCTTTGATTCCAGCACAAGAGGCAGAGGCAGGCAGATTTCTGTAAATTCAAGGCCAGCCTGGTCGACAGGGCTAGTTGTAGGACAGCCAAGGCTGTCTTGAAAACCCCAAAAGCAAGCAAACAAGAAAACCCCCCAGAACCAGACAAAAACCCCAGCAGTGGGTGGAGCCTGAGTCTAGGAGACAAACTGATATAGCGCAGAGCTCATGTCAGACTGCTGGGCTTGTAGGAGCTCAGACCAGTGAGTTCTAGATGTTAAACATTGACTGCTTACCCTGCACAAGCGGTTATACCAAGTGTGAGGCCATACTAGTCTACACAGCCAGTGCCAGGGCAGTCAGAGCTATCTAGTGATACCCTGTCTCCGAACACACAAAACAAAACCCACAAAAAAACTAGCAGGGCGGTGGTGGTGGGTGCCTTTAAGCCTAGCACTCGGGAGGTAGAGGCAGGTGGATCTCTGTGAGTCCAGCCAGGTCTACAGAGCTAGTTCCAGGACAGCTTCCAAAACCACAGAGAAACCCTGCCTCGAAACCCCCCCCCCCAAAAACAAAAACAAAAAACAAAAACAAAACCCAAAACAAAAAACCTAAATTGGAAAGTTCTACCAAAATTCTGAAGTGATATTAACAAGTTTAAATTCCTCCCAGAAAAAAAACAGATATTTTGTAATTTGTTTTACAAGGCAGATAACAACTTGGCATCAAACCCAACAAATACACTAAAAATAAATTTTTGGAAAAAAAAGTAACCAACCTGGTCTATAGAGCAAGTTCCAGGATAGGATCCAAAGCCACACAGAGAAAGCCTGTCTTGATAAACCAAGACAAACAAAACCCCAAACCAAAACAAAAAAGCAAACACATTGCCTCGTTTGGTGTGAGTCTGGTGGGAGCCTGAAGTCTTGTCAAATCCACTGCCTATGTGAGGAATGGTTCTCTGAAACACCCTTCTCCTGAGCCACTTCCTCCTCTCCTCCCAGCCACCTAGCAGTCTCTATAGTGGTTCATACCCTGACTGCTATGCTCTCACATCTTTTACCAGGATTTCTCAAGGGGGGACTGTTTCAGATAAAATCAATCTGAATCTTTCCTGGAACAGGATTTGAGACTTCAAAAGCCTTCCAAGATCCCCAGTGTGTTCTCTGCCCCACAGGGGAGAGCTCATAACTGTTTTTGATCCATCCCATCACACTGATTAGATCAAGTGAGCTGAAGGTAGCAGCTACTCTGGGCTTGTTGGCAATGCTTATTTATGTATACCAGAGAATAAATAGGACGTAAATGCAACCAAAATTCAAGGGCTGAGACAGGACCCTCCAGAAGCCTGTATGTGCTTTAACTCCATCCAACATATGGTACTGTTCCTCATTATTACCAGGATTCCTGGGGCCAGTAACCCAAGGGTAGAAGTGGTACCACCCATTGTCACTCCTACTGACCCACTCCAAAAAAAATTGCTTCATACCCTGAAACATTGTGCTCTGCAGGCCAAGACATTTTTGTACCAGAACAGGGTGTGCTTCTGCCCAGAGGCACAACAAGCACTGCACTGAGATGTAAACTAAGGCTTCTCCCTGGCCATTTTGGGCCAGGTTAAAAAAGCAGTTATAGCTGGATGCACCCGAAAGGTAGAGACAAGTGGATCTCTGTTGAGTTTGAGTTTAGTCTGGCCTTTATAGTCCCAGGATATCCAGTAAGAAAAGACTGGTCTCAAAAATAGCACCCCTTCTCCAACCCAATCCCAAATAAAGGTAAGCAAGCAGTTCTTGTGTTAGGAGGTATGATTGATGCTGACCACCAAGGGGGAATTGGACTGCTTCTCCAAAATGGAAGTAAGGGTGTCTGGAGTACAGGCGGTCCTTTCAGGGGGACTTCGGTGTGCCATGACTAAGTTCCAACCCAATCCAAGCAGGATGACAAAGGGTCTAAAGCTCTCAGGGAGGAAAGGACCAAGACTTGCTGAGGTACTTGCAGAGGGTGAATACAAAATGGGCAGTCGAGGAAGGCACTTACAGATACCACCTAATGCCATGTGGTAAGTCACAGAAACAAGGAATCTGAGTGATGTGTGTCTAGTTTGTAAACACACACACACACACACGTTTACTTTGGATGATTAATCTTGGTTGTCAACTTGGTTGAATCTGAGACCAACAGACACCCTAGAAAGGCTGTGAAACATTTCTGGGGATGGGAAAGACCGCACACCCCCTCCAGAGTGGGTAAAGACCGATGCCCCAACTGTGCCCAACTAAAGTGATAGGTAGCCTGGCATCCAAGCTCTTCAGGATCTGAATCATTCACAAATCAATCACTGTGCCTTCATCATTAACCATACCTAAAACACCTGAGGATATCCGACAAGGGTGAGAAGTTCCTAGCCCCATTCATTAAGATGGGTGTTGTGCACCATGACTCACCAGCTACCAGAGGCCAAAGACCAGGCAGAAACCATGGAAGGAGCAGATGTACCCACATTAGCCAAAGGGAAAGCGATGCAGTTTGTCTGCACGTGCACCTTGTCACTGCTGCTGCCACCTGTCACTAACACTGAACTCCACCACCACCTGGTACATAACTGAAACTTTAAAAAAGTAGGCCTGGTGTAGCAGTATACTTTAATTCTAGCACTAGAGGAGATGGATCTCTGTGAGTTCCAGGCTGGCCTTGAACTCACAGAAATCCACCTGTCTCTGCATCTTGAGTGCTGGGTTTAAAGGTATATTGCCACCACCACCCAGCTATTTTTATTACTAATTGTTTTTTTAAATAGTATGTATGTATCTGTGTGAAGTTACCAGATCCTAGAGTTATAGACAGTTGTGAACTGTCATGTGGGTGCTGGGAATTGAACCCAGTTCCACTGGAAGAGCGCGCTTTTAAAAGCTCTCTCTAGCTCCCTAGGTACAATTATAACACTTGACACATAAAAGTGAATCTATTAGCTGAATCTAATGGAAAGTTTTTATGTTCTGTAAAGAGCCCAGTTAAAGGGACTAAAAAAACCAGAAACTATTGATTGGGAGAAAATATTTGCAAATTGCGTAGCCAATGAAGGACTAAGACCTAGGATCAATAAAACAAACGAGGTTCAAGTGTAGCTCAGCAGCAGGGCAGTTATTGAGCACACAGACACTGGGCTTGATCCCTAGCACTGTGAACAGCCAAATACACTCTACCATAAAGACCACCTCAGACAAGTGGAAACGCTCAGGTGTTCAGAAAGATCACCAGTAACCAGGGGCATGACTCCCTAATCCTTATCACAAGGTGCTGCAAGAACTAAGACAGCAGAGGCTACTGAGCTCAGCAGAGCAGCTGCTCTGCCAGAGGACCTGACTGTAGTTCTCAGCATCCACACCAACTCCAGGGGATCTGATGCCTCTGGTCTCCACAGGAACCTTCACTCATGTGTATACCCACACAAAACTTAAACCTTAAGAACAGAAACGGCAATACCACCAGTAAGATGTTAGGTTGTCACAAAATGAGATAACCTAGAAAATTCATTTCCCTAAATCCAGTTCCCAAAGTCTACATCCTGACTCCTCCACGTAACATTTTAAGACTGAAGACAGTAACAATGGAATTCTGATGGCTGCAGGTGTCTAATGGATCCTGTGGTGACAAGAACATCCTCCAGCTGACTTTTGCCATTGAGGAAGCCATCTGAGCATTAACTGATGACCACATTAGCTCAAAGAAAAGCCAGTGTCCCATGTGGTAAGCAGCACAACCCTTTATTTCCTCACATGCCAACAAGCCACCCCCGCTGGCTTGTCAGCATTCTATGCCTGACCCACCTCAACTCAGACAAGCTGTGGCCAGCTGTTCCTTCCCTCAAGCCAGTTCCAGCCACTTTTCTGCTCCACGCCCCTTCACCTCTGACAGCCAGCAGGCGTGGGCAGAACAGAACTGTCAAGCCACAGAGAACTCAGTTTTGGTAGCAATGTTCAGAGTAGCATAAGAACCTTTGTCTTAAAAATCCTCTTTGGGCAAGCCCTGTCTATGGAAGTCTCCTGCAGACACTCTGTTTCTCTCTCCACAGCAGCAAGGGCTCAGGCCTCCATCTTGAACTGGCGGCTCCTGAGTTGGCGATGGTTAAGGTAGTCATGAGAGTGACAGTCTGGCTATGGATCTTGTGGTATTAGCCAAGTGGACTCTCCTCTTTTCCCGATGCTCCCACACCACCTGTTACCGTTCAGATATTCTCTAGTCACAGGGGCAGGGGAGGGAACCTCTCAACCATAATTAGAGCTCTGCTGTACCCTCCACATCTACTCAGTTTCCCGGCAAGCTCCTCACTTCTAGAATCCAAGTGTCTCTATATATGATCCTACCCATTCAGGCCCCAGGTTTTCTCTCTCTCAGGTCAGCCTCCTCTGCTGTGATGCATCACTCAGGCACTAATGGGGAGTCGGGGGAGGAGAGTACACTGGGTAGAATCCTGGAGAGCTAGGGAAGGAGATAGGGGCTGTGTGTCCAAAATTGAGGGGGGCAGGGGATAGGAGATAAACACAGCACCTAAGAGGATACTTGGCATCCATCAAAACCAAATTTATTAGGACCACCTGTGCCTTAGAGCTGCTGGCCATTCACTACTCTGACCAAGGTTCTATAGGGATGGTCCACCCTCTTAAGGGTTACAACTCTGGCGTGTCCAGCACTCACTGCTGGCTCACTGAGCAGTCAGGTCTCCGGGAAGCAGTCTGAACTGATGGGAAAGGTCACTTGGCTAGCTCCTCAGCCACTGCTTTTCGCATCTTGTCCTTGAGGTAGGCTCCTTTCTGCCATTCAGACTTGAGATCCAGCCATTCATAATATGGGACCTGAAGAAGGGAGTGGAGATGGTCACATGGGCTGTGGAGGCTTTTCCTGCCTTGACTTGGCTAGTAGCCCCTCCCACTGTTAGTATTGGCGCTTGACAGATTTAAATGACCAGCCCTCGTCCTCAGGAAGAGCACAGGGCGTGAGCCTAAGCACATGGACAGAGCTCCTGGCTCTGGCAGGGGCAAAGAGACTGCAAACCAGACGGAAAATGTGACGGAAACCCTATGTAGCCCTGAAAGCTCCAAGCCTTCTCTGCAGGAAACTCAGCACTTCACATGTGACGGGAGCACGAGACCCTGAGCAGCAGTCAGGCCTGAGCCCCAGCTCCAAAGGCAGCAATGGCTCCCATGGCTGTGCTGCACTCAGTGGCACCACAGGAGGCAAGCTAAGCCTCTGGCGGGAGTGTGGGGAGAAGCGCCTGGTGTAGGGCCTAGAGCTGGGCACCCGTCTATAGCCTAGCTTTTTTTTTCTTTTAAAATTTATTTACTATGTACATAGTGTTCTGCCTGCATGTATGCCTGCCAGAAGAGGGTACCAGATCTCATTACAGATGGTTGTGAGCCACCATGTGGTTGCTGAGAATTGAACTCAGGACCTCTGGAAGAGCAGCCAGTGCTCTTAACCTCTGAGCCACCTTTCCAGCCTATAACCTAACTCTTTAAATAGGTACGGGCTCTTCCATCTGTGGTGGTCCCTTGCCCAACAGGCACTTACATCTACTACCAGGAAGCCTGCAGCCAGCACATGTCGACGGGCCAGGACAAAACGGCCCAACAAGTCCTTGCTTCGGCTGTTGAAGTTAGGGAACTCCCAGCGCAGGAAAGCGATCCTAGCAGGAGGCAAGGGTGTTTACAAGGAATGCTCTCAAATTAAGGACAGAGGAGTTAAAAGACAATCAAGAATAGCAGTACCATTGTACTCTTATCAGGACCATGACCAGGGACTCCAGGCTACCTACCTTTTAGCTCCTGGGGGCAGTGGCCGGTTCCCTACTGGCTGGGCAAGGTGAGGAGCAACAAAATCTCTCAGGGGCAGAAAGTGGCCATCTGCATCCAGGAGCACCTCTGCATCTGGGGGTGGGGAGAAGGGATGGGATGAGAGCCTACAGGTGCTACCTTAAAGACCCACAGTGTACACCCCACAGGCATGGGGTGGGGGAGATGCCTGCAGCTCTCTGGGTCCTTGCTGAGCCATGCAGGGGTTACAAAGAGCCTGTTGGGTTTACAGCCTTTCCTGGCAGAAGGGAGCCCTTACCCAGCACCCAGCCATACTGGGTGACCACCTCCAGGCCGCCCTGGTCAGTGCTCCCCATAACTGCTTTCAGGGCCTCCCGCAGCTCCTTCTGTAGAGGTGTCATCTGCTTGCTAGAGGACGAGGGACTGAGGGTTACAGCTGAGGCCGGCAGGAAGGGGCCTTTATATTCAGGGTGTTCCAGCAGGGCGGTGGTGTTGATGTGGACCAACTTCTGGAAAGTACTCTGGTCCTTTGGAGACTTGCTCCCTGGGGGAGTGAAAAAATATATGTAGGCTGACGTACAGCAGCAGAAACAGAAATGGGGATCACGGGGACACTGCATGGAAAGGCAGTGGCTCCTGCCCAGTCTCAGGCTGGGGCTCCAGAGTTAAGATCAGCGCGTCAACTGCAGGGAGTTGTTGGAAAAAGTCATAGGGGTGTGCTTTGTGTGCTCTGGCCTTCTCCTGTCTCTGCTCCAGTTTGTTCCCTGGACAGTAGACCAGAAAGCTTCCATGTGCATGCTTTATGTTGTGTGCAGGGCAGAATACTCACCTAGAAATTGTGTGTGAAGTCCAGGATGGAGAACTGTTTGCAGCTCTGCTTCTCGAACCTGCTGCAGCACACACAGTGCCCACACCAGGTCCACCTGCAGGGTTGGCTCCAGGCTTCCTAGCATGGAGTCCAGCTTCTCATGCACCTAGGCAAGAAGAGAACAGCGGAGAAAGCAGGTTCAGCCCAGGGACTGCAACATCCCAGGAAAGCCTGCAGCCAACCCCTGGTCTTGACCCATCATACTGGAGCCAGAGGCAGCTACTAGAGAGCAAGACCAACATCCTGACTTTGTAAGGCCTGCACCAGCCCCAGGCTCATGTGCAAGGGACCTTCCCTGTGCCTGGAGTCCAGTATCCTGGTGCTATTTAGCTAGGTTTCCCATATCCTACCCACCAGCAGGGAGCCAAGGCCTCAAATCCCTTGATGCTCCCCAGTGGGCACTGTGATGAAGGAAAATTTTTGGCCAGGGCACCTAGGTGGTGATATAGCTGTTGCCCGTGGCTGACTGCTCTCAGAACCATACCAGGCAGTGTCCCAACAGTCTGCCTGTTCTCCAAGGGTCTCTAGAATGCTCCCCATGCTCCCATGTCAAATATTGTGCCCAGCCCCTCACCCCTGTCACTCCTAGACAGAGCTTGAGCCACAAGTTAGCGGTCACAAAGCAGTAGTTAGCTCAGTGTGCATACCAAGTTGAAGAACTCATCTTCTTGTTGAGGACGAAAGTTCAGACGGGCGAAAGCGAGAAGAATGCTGCACAGGTGGGACAGGGAGACATCCTGGACTCTGCTCAGGAGATGCTAGGCCATCAGAGTGACAGAGTGAGTGCCCCGACAGCAGCTTCCCAGAGTCTAACTCCCTGACAGCTGCTCTAGGCACTCTGACAGCTCTAGGGACAAGTGCACAAAGTCACCATGTTTTCATACAATTCCACTCAGAGTGGTCAGTAGCCAGGAGTACAGAGATGCCTCCACCCCCATAGAGCTGCCCCAAGGTGAATGGAAACGGGACACTCAGGAGGAAACAAGCAACTGCTCAAGTATTTTTTCCCCCACTATTACACATTGCCTTCCACATCAAATAAGAAAGTCCCACAAAGGAGTATTCAGCTTGGCCTTCCTTCCATAATTAAAGCAGCAATTCCCAACTGAGGCCAGCAGAGCCTCTACACAGAGTCCTAGAACTGGTCCTAACTCACCTGAGTAAAGGCTTCAAACAAGGGCAGGTTCAGCCATTTGAGGAAGGCAAAGGACTTGGCACAGCGGGCCACCTCGCCAAGTGTCATGCTGGGAATGAAGGGCAAGAGGTCAGCAGCCAGGCGCTGGGACACCTGGGTCTGGTGGAAATTCAGTTTACCTTTGGAATGGAGCAGACACCAGAGATTAGTTGTGGGGAAGGTCAGTGCCCGACACCCACTGCCCCACCCCATCTCAGACCAACACCTAGGGGCTTGGTGTTTGTGACTAAATTTATCCCAGAACCAAGGATGGGGAACAGGGCTCAGGAGTCACAGTTTCTATGGCAGCCTTCTGGGCCAGTGCTTGTCATCATTGGGACAGGCACTGAATTTGACATAGCTGCAGATGTTCATGGCCAGGGCTCTCTCTTCTCACCGTAGGCATAGGCCAGGTCCAGGAGCATGCCTTTCGTCAGTGGGAAGGGCTTCTGTACCAGGTGGTAGGAGATGGCCCGCAGCAGGGGCACCGACCGCCGGCTCTGTGCTGCCAGCGTCACTAACACCTTCCGCAGCTCATCAGGGCCAAACTGCTCCACCAGCTCCAGGCACTGTCAACCACAGCCGCGCAGGGATCAGCTGAGGTGGTTGGGATGAGCTGGGGGTAGGGGTCCCATCCAGTGCAGCCCCTGTGAGATAGCAACTGGGCCTGAGCTGACTCAACACAGGCCTGGCTGCACAGCATCAGCCTTTCCCCACCCCAGGAGCCCGAGCCTGGAGTATAATGTCTGCAGCCAAATTTATCCCTAGGTCCCAGGGCATGGGACACAGGGCCCATGAGCAGCAGAGCTTGCTATAGCAGCCATCTGGGCCAGCTCCCATCATGACAAGACAGGAGCTGAATTTGACTTGACTGCAGAGATAGCAACGTGGAAAGGGCAGAGGACAGAGCCACCTCTAGGAGTCTTATCTAGAAGCTGAACTGTTCATGGGCTAGCTCAGGTCTAATAAGAACAGGCGTTAATGCCAGGAGTAAGTTGCCTGCCACACCCACTTTTTGGTTTCTCTGTATTGCTTTGGAGCCTGTCCTAGACAGGCTGGCCTCGAACTCAAGAGATCTGCCTGCCTCTCTCTGCCTCCCCAGTGCCTCACACCCTAAGAGCATCTGGTTAGGTGTTAGATTTATGCCTGAGATTACAGAGAGGCTTCCAGGGCTCCAACCTCACTCCCTTCCTGTGGAAGACTGTCACCCATGGGATAGGCCCAAAGTCCCAAAAGGTCTGCTCTCAGCCTAATACCTTGTCTTCCAGGTGGTTCATCAGTGACTCTGAGAGGTGCCCTGCCTTCATCATCATGGTCACCACTGTCCGGCTGTCATTGATCTCTGTCCAGCGCCTCTCCAGGTGCATCAGCAGCTCAGCCAGCAGCTCCTGGGAGTGCTGCTCCCGCATGAAGGAGGTACAGGACTCAAACAGGAAGACCAAGTGCTTGTACTTGAACCTCCGTAGACGCCAGCGCACTTCCTGTTCCACGGACTGCAGCTCTTTGGAGGTCTGAGGAAGCCCTAGTACATACATGCTCCTCAGCAGCTTCACGAGGGTCCCATGCCAGATTGAAGTCACCTGCACAGAAAAGGACAAAGACAGTATGAGGTCAGTTTCAGAGGGTAATATAACATACCAAGCAGCTACTCTCACCCAGCCTCATCAGACTTGTTTCTTGCACCTGCTCCTATAGCCTTCAAAGAACCTAGTGCTTCTACTAGACCTGGCCTAGGTAGCTTGCAATTGTGAGGAACAGCTTTAAGTGGTAAGATTCTTAACACAGACAGATTCAAGCTGATATGGCTGACTGAACACAGACCATAGTTCCTAGTATTCAGTCCTGGCATAGCCAGGTGCTGTGCGTATTAGAGCTGCAAGCACAACACACAAATGTAGGTCAGAGAACACAGGCCCATGGGCTCTGTCTCTATCAGCACCAGCTTTCTTTGGCCAGTTTTGCTATAACTTATTTTCTTTTTCACAATGATGAGCTTTTAGGTACTAAAACAACAACACACATGGCTTTTCTTTTGAAAATAATTATTGTTTTGAATCTGAGAAGCTCCAACCCTTCCACCTTTTAATCTGGTGACATGGAGTTGTCCTCAAATCTCAGTAACAGTCGAGTCCAGCTCCTACTGCCACCACCATCTCTTTTCTGAAGAAGTCAACTCTTCTGTACATATAGTGATTCAGGTCTTAGAAGCTATGGGAAAGGCCAACTGGGCTGAGGGCCCACCAAGAGGGAAGACAGCAAACAGTGCAATGACAAGGACTGTCATTACTTGTGCCCAGTCTCTCTCTGTACCTGCCACTGCCTCTGGAAGGGAATGGAAAGCACAATGGAAGGAGCTGAGCTGGGAATGGAGAAGCTGTTGTCTGAAAGGTCTGGATACTTGCATCATCTCCTTACCCTCCTGAAAAACTCACCTTTGTACATACACAGGGGGACAGTGACAGAACCTCAAAGGATGCTGGTGCTTTGGGGAGCATGGAGATGCCATGTACCAAGGATGCCCACTCAGATACTGTGGACACAAAGTGGGGTCTTCCCAGGCAGGGTTTAGAGGTGCAGCATTCAATCCTTGAAAGCAGTAAACCCCACTGTCATTTACATTATGAAGACTTAGTTTCAGGGTTGGGAAGGTCATTTGAAGGATAAAGTGCTTGAAGCCAAGCCTGATGGAGAACTGAACCCTGTAAGGTATGTTCTGAATCCCACATGCACGTCATATAGACACAAACAAAATAACCATTTAAGACCACATAAACCTCTTTGTTTCTCTTGTTATTGCCTTACTATTCTGTTCCAACACTGAGCCTTGTATCTTAAGACTTAAAAAGCAAACAAACAAACAAACAAACAAACAAAAAAACCCCTACAACTAGAATTAAAATTACACAGACTAAGAGGCTTATTAAGCTTATTTATGCACTATTCAGGAAGAAACACTTGAATCTGACGTGAATACACACAGTGAAGCTAAGCATCATGCGTAACTATAAGAGTAGTTGTTCTTCCTATACTACCTAAGTTTGAGATCTACAGATCGAGTTCCAGGACAGCCAGGGTTCCACAGAGAAACCCTATCTTGAAAAAACAAAACAAAAGGCACAATTTTATAATAGTGGTTTAAAAACCCGAAGCTTTTAAAGCACTTAGCCCAACCCTTCTTTATCACTGAACTAGGAGTAAAGGCCAGTTTAGCCAGGGCAGGTTTGTACTTCCTTTTTGTTGATGGAATCCAGGTAAGCTCTGTGTGTAGGAGTCTTTCCTTATTAGGGGCACAATTTGGCTGTAACTGAGTGCTGCTACAGAACCATGCAAACAGGCCTTTCTTTTCCTCATGTTCATCCTCTGAGGATCTGAATGTGGCTAGAAAATAGCCCCAGGTTCAGGGACCTGTTAGTCACACCACTGCATCTCCTGACTTCAAGGGTGATGTCAAGAGGGCAACCAGACAGTGAGGGGTGGGGGCAGGAATGTAAGCCATGGCTGCTGTTCAGGAGAAAGCAGCAAAAAACTGAAAAGAACCACGCTCATCTCTTCTGGTACTATGTGTTGGGTTGCCCGTCTTGTACTCAAATATCTACCTATCAGGCTCCTAGGAGGATCAACAAAAAAGCACAGCACAGGTCTTTGAAATCTAGAATAAGAAAACCAGGAGCGTTATCTACAGCTGGTACCAGAGGGGAGGGAGGGAGCTAAGTCTCCTTGCAAGGAATCCAGAGACCTGAAGAGAAAGGACAGAGTATATATTTCCTCCTCACTGACAATCCCCAGACAACATGTTATTGCTCACCTGACTGTCAACCCGTCTCACAAGTTGCTGAAAGCGAGCATCCTCTACAATCAAGGCCTTTTCCTTTGGCTTCTCAGACAGTAGATAAGAGAGCCGGATGAGTATGAGGGCTGCATGATTGTGGTGCAGGCTATAATCGCCACCCAGTAGTTCCAGCAGCTCCTCTGGCCTGGTGGCTTTCTCAATGAGGCAGTCCACCTCTTGGCGCTCTGGGTAGGGAGTAAACACTTGTTCTTTTCCCAACAGCTCCGTCAAGGAACCCGAGGAGGGGGAACTGACTGAGGAGGTCAAAGTCTTACAGGCCACCCTAGCAAGTCTCACTCGGTCAACTGGGGCAATGGTAGGGACTAGGCGGGTAGCTTCTCTCAACAGGCATGTACACCGCTTCATCAGGCGAACCGCCATGATGGTGGGAGAGGGAGGGAGCTAAGACTCCTAACAAGTGATTCCAAAGTCCTGAAAAGAGAGGGAAGCATTACATAAACTTAGAAGAAAACTGTGACAATGACACGAAGATACAGTTATCCTATACAGCTGGCTTCAATATTTCCCTGTTCTGAACACCCATTACACAAGAAGCAGCACTTTCTGAAGCACAAGTCCCAAATTTCTGTGAGACACCACAGCTCCGCACTCCAGCCTGGGAAGCGGCAGTCCCAGCTGCACTGCAAAACTCTCCCAAATCCCCAGGTACCACTCAATGTTTCTAGATACAAATCTGGGCAAAACAGAGATAGGTTATTTTGTTTTTAATTTCAGAAGTATCCAGGATCAAAAATTATTGGCTTAAAGAAACATGACAGGACATTCTAAGTCAGAATGGTTCTGGGAAACCAAGGATATATAACTCATGTTCCTGAAACTTCTAGGAAAGTCTGTAAACACCACTGTTACAGGTGTTAAATATGGACAGGCTGGCTCATTAATCAACCTGGAAAAAAAGCCACCACCATCACTTAACTTTTGGCTCTTTTTTGGGAGGTGTTGGGGTGGGGGGAGGTGTCACTGGAGAGATGGCTTGGCAGATAACCAAAATTTCAGTGCCTAGCACCCCCATTAAGTGACTCACATCTGCCTGTAACTTCAGCTGCAGGAATCTAACTCGCTCTGGGCCTCAGTGGGCAACTGCATGTGTGTCCACGACCACACAAGAGACATGCAAATAAAGAAAATCTTATACACCCCAGGCTGGCTACAGTTATTTTACATAGCTGAAGATGACCTTGAACTTCTATTCGTCCTACCTCCCAAGTGTTAGGATTACAGGCATCCTACCACTCCTGGTTTTATGAGCACTAACTAGGCAAGCACTTCCAACTGAGTCACACCCCAAAACTCTTAAAAGCAAAAGCCCCTAACATCTCCCAGAGTCATCTTTCCAGTTTTTATCTAATCCCGGCAGTATAGGCTCCACTCTGCACTTTCATCTCACATGCAAGACATGCTACTGCCTTCCTCGATAATCAGAGGCCTTGGCAAAACCCACTACCCTTCTTCAAAGTCCCGCAAAACCTTACCTTTATTGAGAACATGCTACACATCCATGTTTCTTTCAACAATTCTGCCCAGTCTTGTTTCCTACAGCGAGGCAGAAACCAGGTGAGACAAATTACTGAATTATGCTTCAACCAAAGCAGAAAACACTTTAATTTTTTTTGTTTCCGAGAATCGGGTATATGACCAGCTTACTTGATCCCATGAGCAGATTGCTGCTGCTGTAAAACGATTGGCTTAACTTATACTTACGAGGAAATAAAATATGGCCCGGAAAGCGGAAATTTGCCCAGGCCCAATATCCACCACTTGCTGAACCCAGACAGTGAGGAAGCGCTGGCAAACCTTATTAATTTTTAAGACATCTCTAAGAGCAATCTACATCAAATCTACGTTTAAGTAAATATCAACCCTAAAACCTAAAATGCCGAACCACGAAAACCTACTGTCAGGGGACGCCAAGGGTCACTGAGGGTAGCGGAGCGCTTCCGACTAGGCCTCGTGGCCAGCACCGGCAATGAGCGCGTGCGCAATGACAGCCAGGAACCGAATTTGCAATCGGCCAGCCAGCGCCCTTGGGTCACGGAGTCAAAAGCCCCTTTACAGCCCCGCTCCTCCGCACACACAATAGCCGCGCTGGCCCCTACTGACCGTTGCCCTTCCCAGCCACTCTTCCGGCCCGGGTACCCACGTCAGTAACCCAGTCTCTCCATGACGCGAGACTGGTGCAGCGATCACCCTCGCTGACCTCCATCCGCCGAGCCGCCTCCACGCGGCCCGGCGCGCTCACTACGTCACCTGCGCGCCGCCGGAAGCGATGCAGCAGTGCACTGTGGGCCGGAAGCCACGCCCTCCGCCTGTCCTTCCTCCCCATCCCCCGCAAGCTCCCTCTTTATTGAGTACAGGCTTCGGGTCGGTCTTGGGAAGCGTGTTGGGAGGCGGATGATGGGAAACTCAGACGGAAGGGGAGGAAGGGAATTCTGGAAGGCAGGGTTCGTCTGGTCGGAGCTTACTACGTGTGCGACTTTCGGGTGGCGACTCTAATGTCAGTCCGTGCCGCCCCATTCCCTTGGACCTTTCACAAGCCCTGTAGGAAGGAGACGTGAGTTAGGCAGCGGACCGTGGAGGTGACTTTGTAGTATGGGGCCGAAAGGTGCTGCCATCCGACGATTAGTTACAGAGAAGCCAGTTGTAGCTCCAGCTGAAGGTCTTTTGGAAATGTGAGCAGTTTGTCTAGATTAACTAGTGAACATACAGACCACATACGATGGCACACGTATAAGTTCCTGTAATTTCAGTACTAGAAGCAGAAACGGGTCTGAGGCTAGCCTGTGCTACTGTTGAGGCTGATTCGGAAGCAGAACAGCCCGGCGCGGGGCGGGGTACACGCCTTTAATGTCAGCACTCAGGAGGCAGAGAAGGATCTCTGAGTTTGAGGCCAGCCTGGTCTACAGAGGTAGTTCCATGACAGACAGGACCACAAAGATAGACCCTGTCTCAGCACCCTTCCCCTGCCCAACACAAACAAAACCAAAAACAAACCCAGCGACACTGGGGAGATAGCCCTGCCCATAAAATACTTGCTATGCAAGCATGAGGCCCTAAGTTGACCACCCAGAATGTTAAGAACAAAAGAAAACTACAAAAAGTTGCATAGGATGGTGGTGTGGTGAGCTTTCTTTCCTTGTAATCCCAGTGCTGGGGAGAAGCAGAGACTATTTCTGGGACTTGCTGGGTAGCCAGTCTAGCCTACAGGAGCTCAGGCTAAAGACATTGTCTAAAAGACAAGGTAGATGGCTTCTGATATTGATACCTGATATTGGCCTCAGTTTTCATGTGTACACAGCTGAAGTCTGGATGTCCATATTCCACTCTCTGGCTCCCAAAAGCTTGTAACAGTATCATAATGCAAAATGCCTTTAGTACAACTTCCGAAGTCTCCATAGGCTGTCACAATCTCAACAGTGTGTTAAAGTTCAAAATTCAAAGTCTCTTCTGAGATGCATAGCAATGTCTTGACAATAACCACCTGTAAGAATCAAAACAAAAAAAGCAGAACACATACTTCTAACATAGAATAGTACAGGATATACATTACAGATTCAAAATGCAGGGAAGGGAACACAGTTAGGAAATACTGGACCAAAGCAAGATCGAAAACCAAACTCCAAACTCTGCATCTCTGTGCCTGATGTCTAAAGACTCTTCAGCTCTTCTAGTCTGTACAGCTTTGTTGACTGCAACACACTTCTTTCTCTTGGACTGGTTCCATTCTGTTAGCAGCTCTCCTCAGCAGGTATCCTACAGCTCTGGCATCTCTAATACTTGCAGTCTCCAAGGCAATCCAGGCTTTCCACTTCACCACTTAATGAAATGGCCTCTCTATTAGGTCTCCATTCAGGGACACCCCTGACACATGCCTGGCCTCAGCGACTTTCTTTAGTTGTAGAGGAAGGTTCCACAACCTGTTTCTTCTGTTCTTTACTCTAAAGTCAGAACCACATGGCCAAAGCTGCCAAGTTCTTCTGCCTACTGGGGCTGGAACATGGCCCCCTTGTTGAATTACATCTTCACCGGCCTTCTGTTTTTCACTGCCTAAGCTTGAGTCTCCTGAAACTTGCTCTGTAGACCAGGCTGGCCTCAAACTCAGATCTGCCAGCCTCTGTCTTCCCAGTGCTGGCGCTAAGCGTTTCTTTAATTCCTTTTCACATTTGGAAACTTAGCTGAGTGGGCTCTTGTCCTGAGTTCACCACTCCTTTTATTCCATTTCTTAGTCGGTTTATCTCCTTGAATATGGAATTTAGCTCTATTCCACGTCTGGTGCGCCTTTTCTCCTCAAAATTTACACTTTGTAACTTACCGTGTTCAGCCTGCTCCTTTCTATTATACATCTTAATACGCCAACAGAATTAATTCAAAACTCTTCACTTTAGCCTCAGGCAGACTCTTCAGAGAAGGGCAAAAGGCAGCCACTTTCTTCACCAAAATATCACAAGAATGATCCCTAGGCAACATACTAACATTCTCTTCTGCAGCCTTTTGCTCCCCGCAGTTCATCAAAGCATAGTCAGCACCACTGGCTTCCATGCTCCTACTAGCATGGCCCATGATGCAGTGCTTAAAGCATCCCACTGCTTTCCTAACCCAACTTTCCAACTGAGAACATGGTCAGGCCTATCCCAGCCTTACCCCAGGCCCTGGTACCAATTTCCATCTTAATTTGGGTTTGTATGGCTGTGAAGAGACAATATGACCACAGGAACTCTTAAGATACTTTGTTGTTGTTGTTCTTTTGAGACAGGGTTTTTGTAACAATCCTGGCTGTCCTGGAACTTGCTTTGTATACCAGGCTGTCTGGCCTCACACTCACTGAAGTCTGCTTGTCTTTTCCTCCCAAGTGCTGGAAATGAAAGTGTGTGCCACGACCACCTGGCCATCACAGCAACACTGAACCTCTGAAACTGTAAGTGATCCACCCCCAATTAAATGTTGTCTTTTATAAGAGTTGCTGTGATGGCCAGGAACGTGGCAACATGCAGTCTGACATGGTGCTAGAGAAATAGCGAGTATCCTACATCTTGCAGGCAACAGGAAGTTAACTGAGACACTAGGCAGTATCCTGAGCATAAGAAACCTCAAAGTCTGACCCATTCTAATGAAGCCAACACCTCCTAATAGTGCCGATTCTTATGAGATTATGGAGGTCAATTACATTCAAACTACTACAATGTACTTTATGAGTTTTTCTTCCTGTATTGTAAGTGTATTGCCTCTCTCTCTCTCTCAGCTAAAATCAAGTGTAAATCTGGTTCTTGTTTCATAAAAGATTGCTGAATTACCCAGGGAAGATTCTCTTGCTTTAGTCTTTCCAGTAGCTCTATAGCCACACTAGCTTACCTGGGTTGTTTTTACTTCAGAGTCTCATGCTGATTACAAAATTTAACTCATATAGATCAGAGATATAAAGGTATAAAGCTCTTAAGGGAAAACAAGTTTTTATTATTGTTGGTTAGACGGTGGTTTCTTAGGAAACTTCCTATGGTTACAGGTTTCTTGTGAAAGTAGGTGCTTGGTGGCTGTGGAGTCCCTTAAGTGTGGCTCGCCATGAGTTACACTGTTTTCCTTCCTTGCAAGTTCTGAGAAGGGCCTTCCCAGAGCAGGATAGAAGGAGGTGAACCATATCTTGGGGTTCAACCATCCTAGCCAGTCCAGTGTTGGGAGTTATCTTTGGTGCCTTAGCTACTTTTCTATTGTTAGTCAAAACACCATGACCATGGAAACTTATAAAAGACAGTATTTATTTGGGGGCATTTAGTTGAAGGTTTGCTCACAGTTTCAGAGGCTGAGCCCCTGCCCATCATGAGAGCCGGGTGGCAGGCAGGCAGGAGCAATAGCTGAGAGCTCATATCTGTTCCACAAGCAAGAGGCAGAGAGCCAGAGGATAACCGGGAATGGTGGAATGTTTAAAATCCCAAAGCCCCTCCTCCAGTAAGGCCACATGTCCTAATTTTTCTCAAACACTTTATCCAGCTGCACACCAAGTATTCACATCTATGAGCCTATGGGGGCCAGTCTTATTCAAACCACCACAGCAGGTAAGCCAGACAGGCTTCTGATCCGTGAAGGCACAGGCTCATAAGCATGGCATCTCCTTGAGAGAGGGCTGACAGCGGAGTCCCATGTGTTCAGTGAAGGGGTTGGAGCCTCTAAAGACAGAGCACCTCCACTCAAGGCTCCTTGAAGCTGCTGTACCACCCTTATCTCGTGCCCATACCTAGTCATAGTTCCCTGGAGCCACAGGGACAGGCCAGGTGCCTGAGCCTTGTAGCCTCAGGTGGTCAGCAGAACTGATGCCAGCTAGGGGTGCAGGAGTGGGCCCGTTTTCCACTGCCAACTCAATAATTCAAAGGCAGGAAAGAAAAAAGACAGGAAGGATGTGTTAGTAAGAATCTTGGGGAGTCCCAGCCAAGACATCACATGGCACCTGGTGGGGGTCAGGGTTTCTTCTTAGGATTCTTACTCATTAATAAAAGAATTTAGGGACACACACAAATGGAAGCCGAGGACAGTTCAAAAAAAAAGAAACAAGTGAGTCATAAATTGTGAAGTTGCCTGGAAGAGAGAAGGGGAACGGAGAAGAAAAGGGACAAGAGCCCTGCAACTTGAGATGGGCAGTGCGCAGCTCAGCCACCTGGTGGCAGGCATCCATGTGGTGGGGAGTAAGAGACACAGCTTGAGACAGGGGTGTGTGGGTCAGCCACCATGATGGACAACCTTGTGATGGGGAGTAGAGCTTTAAGAAAAGGACGAGGAAGCCCAAAACATTAGATAGGGGGTTTAAGATAGACTTTGATCAGTGTCAAACCGGGCAGTGGTGGCACATTCCTTTAACCCCAGGACACTTAATGTCCTTGTCGAGGACAGTAATTTAGTTCCCAAGCATCCATGTGGCAGCTCACAACTGCCCATAAGTCCAGTTCCAAGGGAACTAACCTCCCGGTGCATGTAAATTTATGTAAACAAACATAACAAATAATAAATAAATCTTTGAAAAAGGAGTAATACTTCTAAGACTGGAAGTGAGCTAAGGAGCTGGGACAGGCCTAATATGCAAAAGCTGAGTTCCCCATTGCCGGGAGCGATCTTGGCATCAGCCTTAGAGGTTGCCAGCCTTCTTTTAGAATAGCCCATTGAGTTAGAAGATTGCTACCTGCAGTCCCAATCAACCTTCTCCCCCTCCCCAACTTCCTGACAAGTAGAATTGAGGGCTTACAGGAATGCAGGTAGGTTACTTGGTAGCCCCTCCTTATGCAGTTAGGGTATTTAGCAACTCCTGCAACCTCTTCTTCGGCTAACAACCTGCTTATCTCTACCTGCATTTCCTCTTAGCCCATATCCTGCTCACCTTCAGTGACCTATGACCTATGGTCCTGTGGTCCGGTTACCAGGCAATGACCTCCCCCTTCTGAATCCCCACCTTGCCTAGCTTCCCGACTTAACCACTATATAACATGCTTGAGAAAAATAAAATTTTGCAACTTGACCAGAAAGCCTGTCTTGCTGCCCATTTCTCATGTCTCCTATCTCTCATTCCAGGTCCTTTGGGGTTCAGGCCCTTGTTGCTGCCCTGCTGGCCCTGGAGCACCCCATGGGCTGGATTCTTTCTTTCTTTCTTTTTTTTTTTTTTTTTTTTTTTTTTTTTTTTTTTTTTTTTTTTTTTTTGAGACAGGGTTTCTCTGTATTGCTTTGGAGCCTGTCCTGGAACTAGCTCTGTAGACCAGGCTGGCCTCTAACTCAGAGATCCTCCTGCTTCTGCCTTCTCAGTGCTAAGAATAAAAGCAACCAAGAGATCTCCCCAGCTTTGTCTCAAGCCTGTGGCTTTGTTATAAGCTGCTCTGGTGGGAAGAGGTTTCCAGTCTTTCTATTAACTGGCTCCCCCCCCCCACACACACACATAGAGCAATAGAAACCCTAAGACAATCACTAAATGAGAAAATGCCTTACAGCTGGATCTTGTGGAGGCATTTCTTCAACTGAGGCTTCTTCTCTGATGACTCTAGCTTGAGTCAAGTTGACACACAAAACCAGCCAGTACAGATGGATGTGAGAAACATTTGTGTGTGTGTGTGTGTGTGTGTTTTCCCACTGAGGTAGTTAGCCCTACAAAGACTCATATTTCTTGAGTCCCCTCCTTCCTCTTTATAGTCACTAGCCAATTGCATCAGAATGGCAATCCAGTCAATTGTGATGTCCAGCTCCCACCAATGGGATAAAACACAATCACCACTTACATCATAGATAAAAGATAGAGGCCATTTTGGCCAAGAGTTCTCTTTAGCCTGATTTGGGTGGTGACACACATGGGTGGTGACACACAGTTCTTTTTGCAAAAAGAAATTGCTTTGCTGAATTACTTTTGCTTCTCTTATGTATTCCTTTGTGTGGCATCAAGATGATTATTTTGGAAATGTAGGGCCTTCAAATGGTGGTTTCCATAGCTAGTCATATAGGGCTTCTGTAGGTTCAGATGGGGCTAGTTACCTCAAAGCCCAGGCATAGGATTAGTGAGCTCAGCCTCCCAGACCTTCTCATGATCTTCAGGTAAGAGAAAGGGGTTGGCGCTGAATTCAGGATTGAATTCAGTCATCAATAATCAATGGTTTAATCAATCATGATTATGCAATGAAACCTTCCTGAAAGCCTAGGAGAACTTTTGGTGGGCTTGTTGGGTGTCTGTCCCATAGAGACAGACATTCCTATATCTTCCACTTCTTGGCTCCATCCCATGTCCCTATGTGGTGTTTGAATAAGAATGCCTCCCCCCCCAAGAGGCTCATAGATTTGAATGCTTGGTCATTAGGAAGTGGCACTACTTAACAGGAATTAGAGGTATGGCCTTGTTGGAGGAAGTATGTCACTAGGGGTGGTCTTTGGGGTTTCAAAAGCCCAAGCCAGGCCCAGTGTCACTCTCTCTTCTTGCTGACTGTGGATCTGGATCTAGAGCTTCCAGCTACCTCTCCAGCACCATGTCTGCCTGAGTACCACTATGCTTTGTACCATGATAATGGACTAAGCCTCTAAAACTGTAAGCCAACCCCAGTTAAATATTTTCCTTTATAAGTGTTGTCATGGTCGTCGTGTCTATTCATAGCAATAGAACATTGACCAAGACAATCTGGCTATTCCTGAACTGTGTCCTTCATGACAAATGCATATTTGTAACCTAGGTGCTTGTAGTGGTTTTTGTGAGTCATTCTAATGACTTGTTTAACTTGAAGCTATTTCTGGAGTAGTTAGTGTCAAAGCCCGGGCTCTGGCAGCCCTAATGAGCTAGGCTTAGCCCCCTGAACATCAATGAAAGAGCCATTTAGTAGTGAAAAATAGAGAAGGGAGATTTATTCATTGTGGCCACACTGGGAAGAGGAACAAATAAAGATCATTGACTCCGTAGGCCCATCTTTGAGGTTCTGAAATGGGGTTTGGGCTTACATAGGGGGCACGAGGTATGCACAGGTGAGCAGTCTCCATCAAGACATGGGCTGTCTCTCACTGACCCATCCTTGTCTTTGTTGAAATGTACCCCAAGGCAAGGTGGTCTGGTAAATGGTCTGCACTATGTGAAATCACCTCTTGTGAGGTTGTGTTGCTGTGATAAAGATCATAGTCAAAAGCTACTTGGGGTCGGGAGGGCTTATTCAGTTCACAGTTGTAGTCCATTTCGAAGGGAAGTCAGGGCAGGAAGTCAAGGCGGGGGCTGAAGCAGAGACCTTGGAGGAATGACCTCACATCTGTTTTTTTTTTATTCACCCCAGGGATGGTACCACCCATAGTGAGTTTGGTCCTCCCACATCAATTACTGCAGGCCAACCTGAGGGAATCTCACATGAGGTCCCTCTTTCTAGGGACCTCAAACAAAATAAAACAAGACAATAACAAAACAACAACTACAGAGGGCAAGAGGCGGGTTCCTCCTGTGACTTGATCAGAGCTTCAGCTATTTCCAGAGTGAGACTCCTTAAGTAATTCCAGTCCTTGGCATCCATTGTCTCAGTAGCCTGACAGCCAAAGGGACGGGCACGAGTATATCTTTTGACCATCTCTGCTTCTGCCAAAATGCTTGCAAAGGGACAGTGAAAGTGACTGAATCAGGAGTGTGGGAGGCTCTACACTTGGAGCTGGTATCTGAAGTCGGAACCGAAGCCCTAACTGGTGGTGTCTGGTGTGTCAGGAATGGTGCGAGCTGTGAGTTGTGCTGTTTGTGTCTGAGTAGGGCATACACATACTTTGCTTAGAGTCCACACTGTGCTGGCTTGGAGCTGTGTCAGCTTTACCCTGCACACTCAAATACTATTCCTTGCTTACCCCATGCTGCCATCCAGCTAAGCTCAGCTTCTGCCCTGTCCTGAGGCTGGGGTTGGTCACACCTTGGAAGAGTTCAGATGAGAAGACCTCTCTCACACCCCTGGCTCCAGGAGAGGAAGCCTTTCCTGGTCCTGAGAGCCACTATGGCACCACAGTCTTGACGGAGTTTGGCTGTGGCTGGGTGAGGCCCCTCAGCATCCCACCCTCCCATGAATGCTCATCACCATTCGGGAATGCCTCACCACCCTGGAGATCCTAGGGCAGGCCTGTGCTTGCTTTGTCATTCCTTCAAGAGCTCAGGACAGACAGACAGACACGGAGAGACATAGAGCCAAATGGATTTTTTATTAGCAGCAGATAGAAGGTATTATATTCTCTCTGGATCCAAGAGTGAAGATTCTCGCTGAACAAGCTTGGGCTGGTTACTCCTGGCAGGCAGGGATCTCAAGGCAGGCTGCTCACTGGAAGAATTTCTCTGTAGGGGATATGGGTGGAGATGAAAACAGAGGGGGTTACCTCTGCTTCTAAGCTAGTCATACCCATCATTCTAGGAACCTGAAGGGCAGGCACCTTTATGGGCTTTGCAGATGAGCATGTACAATTCTTTACACTGACCCCCTCCTAATCACCAATAGGCAGGTGAGCGAGATACCATCACCAGGTTACAGGTGGACATGGGCAGTTGGAGTTGAGCCTGTGTCTTGCTCATGTTCTTAATTTTGAACACTTCCCTGCCCCCTCAGGTTAAGTTCGAAAGGTACAGTCTGGCCCATAAACTCACCAGGACCAACTTTGAGTGGCAGAATGGTCTGTTTTCCCAGGCCCTGCTCATTGACACTCATTCCTACTGTGATCGGCCATACCAAGTACCCAAAGCCTGTAGGTGGTGTATGTGACTTGGCCGAGACATTCTCCTCCTACTCTGGGACCTAGTCCTGGGGCTGTTCTCACATTGTATCTGTTCTCGGGCCTGATGAAGGACAAGGTGATGGCCCAGGAGGCCTAGGGAGAAATGGGGCTTCAGGGTCTCAAGGCTGCTTACCTGCTTGTGGGTTCTTGCACTTCATGGCACAGCCTTCCCTGCAGCATTTCATGTTGCCAGTACACTCACTGTCCCTGGAACATGAGCTCTGCTCTCGACATGGCCCAGCAGGGATCATGTGGACTGGATTCCAGGGGCAGTGGCCAGCCTTTGGAGCATCAACTGGGGAGAGATGGTCACTCTCTTACCACCCAAAGCCCTGTCAGGCCCCAGCTTTGCCGAGTCCACCTTACTGAACCCCTGACTGAAAAGACTTCATTTTGTGGATGGGACATTTGCTGAGGTCCTCCTCCTGGTGTCAGGCAGCACCCTTGGTGGCCCAGAGACATCAGGGACCAGATTGGCAAGGAGGCTGCAGGGAGTCTGGCAGGTAAGCGGGTCTCACAGAGCTGGTGTGTGGGTGCAAAGGTCCTCTTCAGGCAGACTCTAGACCCTGTTCGCTCCTCCCACCAGCAGGGCAGGGAAGGGCCTTACTGTTGACAGGAGTTTTGCAGATAGCACCACAGGAGCTGGGACAACACAAGGTGTTCTGGGCACACTCCGCATTGGTGAGACAGTTGCTGCACTCTGTCTTCTCACTGGAGCTGGCTTCAGCACACAAAACTGCACAAAAATGGGGAGGTAAATAGGAGTCTAGCTGTCACCCTTACTTCTATAGCTTCTTGGCAGATAGCCTGGAGATGTGGATGGAAACTATAAGAAGCCTGGCCTCTGAGCAGGCTTAACAGTGGAAAATCTGCTAGAATTATGGCCAGGGTGATAGGAGCATGCCACAGGCTCAGGACCTGGGTGATCGGAGCATGAGAAGGCAGATGTGAAAATTATGAGAATTAAGAAGCATGTCAGAGGCTCACAGTCATAGGCAGAGTATTAAGGACCTGATTAGAAGCCACCAGGGCCTGAGGGCAGCTCCCATCAACCCATCTCTCAACCTGGACATTTTCCACCCAGGGCCGTGTGGGACAGGGCCCTGGTTTTCTGCCATTCTTGGATTCTCCCCCAAGCAGAACCCTTTTCTTCCTTGCCCCTTCATCACCCTGGGCACAGGGAGCTGGGATGAATCTGGGGGACTCTCCAAGTCACTTCCAGCAGTCAGGTGAATAGCTGGGGCCTACCTGAGTTGATGACTTGTTCCAGTGGATTCTGAGCAAGGGCCATCTCCAGGGCCAGCAGGCCAAGAGCGAGGCTGATAAAGCAGCGCATGGTGACGATGGCAGGCAGATGACTGATGGCAGCCTGAGTGCCTGGGATGCATTTAAAGAACCCACAGGAGGAAGACTTCAGGGGGCAGGGGTGGAGGGGAGGCTGGCATAGGCCTAGATGGACTAAAACACTTCCTTCTTGGACACACGAACAGAGCAGGCCCAGGCTGCCAGGAGCAAGTGCCACAATGGAGGCCACAGTTTTTAAAATGTCCTTTGTAAGAGAGACAATTCTTTCTCCAATTGAAAAGTGATACATGTTTATTGTGAAAATGAAGAAAACTTAAGGAGCAGAGAAGGAAGAAATAGGGTCCATAACAAATGTGAAAGAGTCACCTTGAATGGTTGGGTTGGAACTCTTCACAGACAAAGGAAATTCTGAGTTCCAAACTTGTACAGAATCACGTAGGAAACAGTACAGGCAGGGTCTAGCAAGGTTGGGGCTACCTCAGAGGGTGACTTGTTTTTCTCCTGGTGCTTTCCTAGCGTTTTCTAAAATTTCCTATAAGAACAAGACACTTGCTCCTTGCAGAGACTGTAAGGCATGGCATCAAGAAGGCGCTGCCTGTGCAAGGCACATTGGAAGGCCACTTCCCAGAAGGGCCCATACTGTGCCAAGTGTGTCATGGGCCAGGATGGGATGTCCTGCTGGGCATGGCGCCCCCATTGCTCTGGGGACATTTCCTTGATTTTCCTGCAGGGAAGTGTAATGACCCAGAGTGACTGTGTACTTACTGTCTGTCATTGCCAGCCCGTGGTGCAGGTCATACCCCTGTGGAGTTCATCACTGGTGGCCCGTGGCCTCTCAGCTTTGAATGCAAGGTCTCAGGGGAAGCTCTCTAAGGCTGTAACCTCAAGCTCTCATTCTAGGCCATTTCTACCAGCCCCAAAGGAAAGCCTGTGCCTACACATGGCCTCTCGCTAGTCCCCTGAGTCCTCAGACCTTGTCAACCATCACTCTGCTTTCTGTTTCTGCATTTGTCTGTTCTGGCCATGTCATGTAAATGGGATGTGACAGTATGCAGCCTGGTGAATGCGACTTTGATTACTGAGCCTGCTTTTGAGGCTCATCTGCCTTGTGGCAGTTGCCAGTGCTTCAGGCCTGGGTGCGGGCCAGCGTTCCACGGCAGGTACACAAACACTTTGCCGTTGAATCTGTCCACAGTCATTCTCACATTTAGGCCACTGTCAGGCCACTGCCATGTTTGTGTTGTTCAGGTCTGAGTCACACTTATGCTGTGCCAGGTCTCTGTTTCTATTCCCATTCCAATTTCCGCCTTTGCTGGCACAGAATGAGGGCCACCAGGAAAGGGCTGGCTAGGGTTTCTTGGCTTCTTGAGTTTCCCAGAAGGCCTCGTGTCTTAGGAGCCAGAGCTCTGTTCTATCTGTATCCCCTTGGGGCTCTGTACACATGCACTCTGTGTCCTAGGCATGCTGGCTGTTATTCTTGCCTATGTACCTAGGCATGCTGGCTGTTATTCTTGCCTATGTACCACTGTCCTGCTGGACTTACAGACACAGGCTCAAAGGGGAAACCACTGAGAATTTTTTTTTTTTAAAAGATTTATTTTACTTATTATGTGTACATGTCTGCATGTTTGCCTGAACACCAGAAGAGGGCATCAGATCCCATTATAGATGGTTGTGAGCCACCATGTGGTTGCTGGGAATTGAACTCAGGACCTCTGGAAGAGGAGCCAGTGCTCTTCCGAGCCATCTCTCCAGCCCTGCCATTGAGAATTTCAAGGTAATGATTGCAATTGTAAGCTCAGGTGACTATAGGGCTTGCTGGCATGAAACCAACAGGCCCCAGATCCCCCCTCAGCTCTTTATTGATTGTTCTGTGGACCTCACTGCCTCTCTGTTCCTGCCCTCCTTCTCAGGCTCAAGTCTGATGCTGAGATTCCCACTGATGCCGAGGTCCCACTGATGCCGAGGTCCCACTGATGCCGAGGTCCCACTGATGCCGAGGTCCCACTGATGCCGAGGTCCCACTGATGCCGAGGTCCCACTGATACCCCCTGCTTCTCCAAGTACTTCGAACCCTTCTGGTTCGTGCCTGGGTCCTCAGCCTCTAGGAACTCTAGGCCCTTGTTTGAGCCCTTTCTTCTCATTCCTCACCTGCCTTTGAACATCTTTGGGTGTTTCCTGTGTGTAATGAGTGGCTGTGACTGGAGTCTCTGTTGTGTGACCCCCCTTTCACTCAGGGGATCTTCGTGATCTGCACCTACTGGCTTCTCCGACCTAGTCACAGCAGCAAAGGAAGTCCAGTTTCAGAGAGGACAGTGAGCCAGCAGCCATGGTGAGCCTGCCCTGTGACCTAGAGAAGGCCAGAGGTTCCTCAGCCCCACGATCCTGCTTCAGTTGATGAATGTTGTGTGTGAGCGAGTGTATACAAGTACGTGTGGGTGAGTGGGCCTGTGTGTGTGAGTGTGGGTATGGTGTGTATGTGTAAGTTCAGGTCTCTCCAGTTCCTCTTATCCTCCTTCAGAGCCACAGACACGTCAGGAGGAAATTTGGGCTACATGGAAGGGAAGTGGTCCTGCCTCTGGCCTCGGATTCCAACCCTCATTCCTGGAGGTTTGTTCCTTACCTTTTTAGAGGTAATCAAAACGTGTTCAATCATGGATGCATGGCTCAGCATTTTTTTTTAAGTCTTCTCTCATATATTACATCCAAACTAAAGTTTCTCCTCCCTCCCCTCCCTCTAGTCTCTTCCCCTTATCTTACCTTTCCCCCAGATCACCCTCCCTCTGTCTCCCCTCAAAAAAGAACAAGCTTTCTAGGGACATCAACCAAGCATACCATGCTACTTTAAGACCAGACACATACTGCCGGCAGTGGCGGTACAAACCTTTAATCCCAGCACTCGAGAGGCAGAGGCAGGCAGATCTCTGTTAGTTGGAGGCCAGCCTGGTCTACAGAGCTAGTTCCAAGACAGCTAGGGCTATGCAGAGAAATCCTATCTTGAAAAACAAAAACAAAACAAAACAAAAAAAGGCCAGGCACACATAATATCAAATCAAGGTTGGATGAGGCAACCCAGTAGGAGGAAAAGGGTCCCATCCTTAGGCAAAAGAGTCAGCAACCACCTCCACTACCACTGTTAGGGATCCCACAAGAATCTCAAGCTACCAGAACATGTATGCAGAGGATCTAGGTCAGCCCCTCTACAGGCTCCTTGATCTCTGTGAGCCCCAATGAGTCCCAGTTAATGGATTCTGTGGGCCATGTTCTCACGGTGTCCCTGACTCCTCTGGTTCCTCTGATCCTTCCTCCCCCTAATCTGCCCCAAGTCTACCTAATGTTTGGCTGTGGGACGCTGCATCTGATCCCACCAAGTGCTAGATGAAGTCTTGTCTGGTCTCTTGGCTGAGGATTCTGCTAGGCTCTGCAGGCAAAACAAGCTGTAGGCCAAATGTTTTGTGTCTGGATTGGTGTCTTAATCCCTCCACTTGAGGCCTTGTCTGGTTACAGAAGAGGCTCTATGTGCTCTATTACTAGGAGTCTTTGCTAGGGTTCCTCTCGTAGATTCCATGGAGTTCCCTTCGAACCAGGTTTCCACCTCACCCCTGAAATGCACCCCCTCCAATTCTAGTCAGTTTCCCCCCAGTATTTACTCCCCTATTCAACTTAACCCCTTTTGTTCCCAACCCAACCTGCCCCCCCAATCACCCCCCCCCATGAAATCTCTTCTATTTCCCCTTCCCAGGGAGATCCAAACATGCCCCCTTGAGCCCTCCTTGTTATTTAGCCTCTCTAGGTCTGCGGATATAGCATGGTTATTCTTTGTTTTACAGCTAGTATCCACTTATAAGTGAGTACATACCATGTTTGTCCTTTTGGGTCTGGATTACCTCACTCTGGATGATTTTTTCAAGTCCCATCCATTTGCCTGTAAATTTCCTGATATCTTTGTTTTTAACAGTTGAGTAATACTCCATTGTGTAAATGTACCACATTTTCTTTCCTTTTTTTTTAAAATACCAATCCCAGTTCCCTCTCCCTCCTGTCCTCCCATTCCCACCACCAACCCTCCCCCGTCCCCCCCATTCACTCCTCAGGGAGGGTGAGGCCTCCCATGGGGGATCATCAAAGTCTGTCACATCATTTAGGGCAGGCCCTAGTCCCTCTTCCGTGTATATAGACTGAGAGAGTATCCCTCCATAGGTAATGGGCTCCCAAAGCCCATTCATGCACAAAGGATAAATACTGGTTCCACTGCCTGAGGCCCCACAGACTGCCCAAGCCCCCCAACCGACACCCATATTTAGGGAGCCTGGTTCAGTCTTAATGCTAGTTCCCCAGCTGATGTGAGCTCCTACTTGCTCAGGTCAGCTGTTTCTGTAGGTTTCCCCAGCATGGTCTTGACCCCTTTGCTCATCACTCCTCCCTCTCTATAACTGGTTTCTAGGAGTTTGACTCAGTGCTTAGGTGTGAATCTCTGCTTCTGCTTCCATCAGCTACTGGATGAAGGCTCTATGATGGCATTATCAATTTCATTATAGGGGAAGGGCATTTAAGATAGCCTCTCCATTATTGCTAAGATTCTTAGTTGGGGTCATCCTTGTGGATTCCTGGAGATTTTCCTACTGCCAGATTTCTCATTAAGGCCATAATGACTCCCTCTATTAAAGTATCTCTTTTCTTGCTCTCCTTCTCTGTTCTTCCCCCAACTCGACCTTCCTGATCCCTCATGTTCTCCTCCCCACTCCCTTTCTTGGTAATTTTTTCCAGGTAGTTCTTTCTTCTTCTTTGGATGTTTATTTGTCCAAAAGTCTTTAAATTCCTCAAGATGTTTGTTTTTATTTTCCTACAAAGACAAAAACAAAACCCTTCCCCAACCCTAATCTAATCTTTATCATTTTTGATTTATGGTTTCTCCTGAAATTTTTGTTTTAGCTTCTAAAGCTCTTCTATCATCCAGAGCACTATGTTTTCTTACAATAGGTATCAGGTTTTAAAAATTGCTCTGAGAAGGAGTTTCCATGGTGACAGGAA